CCCCAAAACCCCAAAACCCCAAAACCCCATAAGATTTTTAGCTTCAAGATTTATAAAATTAAGTTATTTTAGAATTAATTCATTTTTTGGTTGCGAACTATCTCATTGGATCATCAAACTATTCTCTTTATCTTTTATATTACTCCATTTCCTCTTCAGTTACTTTATCGTCCCATTTCAAGCCATAGTATCCCTCTTTTTAGTCTATGTGGTTCTTAGTCTCTCTATTCTATTTTTTATCTTCTTTTTGCTACTTTTTAGCCTATCTCTTCTTTCTTTTATGTCTAGGACCAGAAGAATCACTGTCTTCTCCAGATGATTCATCGCTTTCAGAACTCACCTCAGATTCAGATGAAGATTGGTCAGAATTAGAAGAAGAGTTTTTCCTTTAAACTTACTTATTCTCTAATTAAGAACTTTTCTCTAAATCTTCCTAAATATCTATTTGCTACACATTTTCTTTTATTTCTTCTGGTTATTTTAGATACTTTTTGTTCGTTTCTTCTACCAACTTTTTATGATCATGTTCTTATTACTTTTTAATTTATAATTCAAATTCATATTCTTTCTTGATAGTTTCTTTTTTCTACTCCTCACCTTTACACTTGGATTTCTTATCAAAACTATAGCAGCATCTATAGCCCCATCCAAATTAAGCATGCCAATAGGATCCCCAGACACTTTAATGACCATAAACATAAACATCTTCCTCATATTTTGATTTAATCCCTAGAAGTCCCTTGTTGTCAAAGTTTTTTATTTCAGGCTTATTTAGCTTCTAAGCCATTTTCTGTTATTCAGCTAAATCCTCCAACTCAGCCTTCATGCCCTCTCTTAATTCTTCAGGAATAACCAAATGCTAGTCTCCTCCATATCTTGACAATAGTTCCTGCATTTTTTTATTTTTTAATAGTTCACTTTTTTCTTTGAATTGCTTGTGCATTATTTCTACTTAACTGGGCATCGCAATGTTGTTTACTTCAACTCCAGCCATTTAAGTGGCTTCAAGAACGAACCCTTCTTAATTCATGAGGGTAATAAAATCACCTGTGACTCTATGAAAATTATCTCCTTTAAACGCTTATCTATTCTCAGGAAGTTCTGGATTGGGGTTTTCCTTCATTGTTCTAGTTTTACCATCATATACAGCTGAGTTAGGGTCTAAATTTCTGAGATACTTCGCTGTATCCTCCCTAATTCTTAAGTTTCTTATGGTGGTTCTTACTCTTGGGTCCTTATTAGCAAACTAACTTTGATCTTCATTCAGATCTTCTCTATCTGGATCGTCCTCATCAGAGCTGTCACTGTCATTTGTTTTGCCTGTCGTAAGCTTTTGCTAGATTTCCTACTCTTTCTTTTTCTTTTGCTCCTCATTCAAATTTTCCCATTCCTCAATTACTAATTTATAAGTACTAGGGTCATAGCCATTCCATCTATCCTTCTTTCCCTCGTAATTCAACTCGATCTTTTCAATTATCTCGTCACTTGCAAAATCTCTATTGCTATACTTGGCACCAATTTTTCTTGGTCTATCTGTGCAAGTCTTGGTGTTATGAGTCATTGCGCCACAATTAGCGCAAGCACCCTTCCGGTATTTAGTTACTTACTGGTCAATTTTTGCCCCTTTCCTATACCAGGTGTCTATTGAAGGTTTTTTAACTTCATTCCTTGCTCTCTAATGAGTAAGGATAGGCTAGTCCTTTTAATCCACATACCAAGGAGCCTGTTTGATGTACTGAGGCATGTGAGTTAGATCTACATTTTTCTGTTCTGGTTTGCTAGACATTTTTATATTTTCTTAATAAAGTATGATTAATAATTTTAACAAATAGCAATAAGTAAATTTATTATCTGGAATAATCATCTATCACAAGTGTTTTATATCGGCAATTAGGGGTTTTGGGGTTTTGGGGTTTTGGGG